CACATGGTTCACCCCTCCATTGCTACTCTGGGATATCCTTTTGCAAGGGTATGTAATTTATTCTTGGGTCTGTTTCATTAAGAGAAAAATACACGTGCGAGAGAAAGAACCAGATCTTTTTTTCTTTCAAAATTACTCTTTTTAACTATAAACATATATTAATTTTCTAACATATTTCAGGTAACTGCTTAGTAATAGATAAAAGGCAGTATATGTTCTAACAAAAAATCAAAGGAATGAAAAATAAACCAAAACCTAGTTTTGGGGCAGGGGGGTTTAAAGATTTTATTTGTTTATTCATGAGAGAGGCAGAGACACAGGCAAAAGGAGAAGCAGGCTCCATGCAGGGAGCCCGACGTGGGACTCCATCTCGGGTCTCCAAGATCACGCCCTGAGCTGAAGGAGGCACTAAACCGCTGAGCCACCCGAGCTGCCCTAAAACCTAGTTTTGAAGACGACACACATCTTATGACGAAGATGTTACAAGAGAACAAAGCAGCCCAGGAATTCTGTGGAGGCAGAGCTTATGGCTGGGGAATGGGGGTGGGCAGGGCTTTCATGAGGACCTAGAAACTAAGTGAACCTCTGGGAAGGAAGGATGAGGATTGGGTAAGTGAGGAGACTCCAAGACACTCCAGGAAGCGCTCTGAATGAACAAGGCTCAGACACAGACCATGGGGCACCTTTAGACGTCAATGTATGGACCAACCAGGCTATGGCGAAGGATGCCAGGAGGAGCGAAAGTAATCGGGGAGATTAGGGAATAGTCACACCATGGAGGGAATTGCACACCCAAATGAAAACTCCTGATTTCATCCTATAGCACAGTGCTGACTTCCCACGCTCTGGAGTCAGACAAAAGATTGAAGCTCCAGCTTTTCTGTTTAATTGCTACATGACCTTAGGCACATTAGCTACTTTTCTTTCCTTACTTTTTCATTTCCTTCCTTCTTTTCAGCTTGCTTTCTTTTTTTCGGAATTTGGCTTTACTTTTTTCAACTTTCACTGTGAAAGTTTGCAAATATGCACACGAGTCACGACACCCGTGTAATACGCCCTACGTATGCATCATTGTTTCACCTCCACAGTTTCCACTCCCTCCTCACCATCCCCCCCAGGCCTGATAGGATTCCTGGGATAGGTCCCTGGGAGCACCTGGTTAAGGAATTCCTGCAGGTGGGAGAAGCTAGGAAAGGCTACCTGAGGAGGACCCCCATGAAAGCAGTATCCACCTTCGACTTGAGACACGTGGGTCCCAACCTGGGTTTCACGCTTTAAAGGGCCTGCTCCCACCCACCTCTGGTCATTCTCCTTTCCGGAGGGAAAGAAATCCCAAGGAAAGGTCCTCGCCTGCAGCCTGTGCCTCCTCAACAAGTCCTGGTATGGTACCTGGAACCCAGGAATTTCCTGTCTAAATGTCTTGGGGCCATCTCTAGGACATACTCTAGCAGGTGGTTGGTTGACAGGTGGATGCAGGCAGAGCTTAGAACTGTAGGGCTGAGGCTGCTCACATAGGTGTGAGGCCCCTAAGGTACCAAAGGAGAGAGTAGAGGAAGAGAGAAAGGGCACCCCCACCCCCACCTTTGTTCCTACAGACCAAGAACTCCCATCTGGAGCTCCATTCTTGCCCCACAACCCACAAACGCTTCTGAAAGTAAGTGCCATCTACAATTGTTCTCAAACTTATGCCACTGATGTCTTTTGTCAAGTCAGCTCCCAGGACCGCCAAAGAGCCAGATGAGCATCGTCTGAGTGCCTGGAGGAATGGAATAAAGTTGACACGTGAAAGAGCAAAGTTGATCGATATGGTTGTCATCAGAAGGACAGGGATGCCTTGGACTAGGAGGCCCAAGCAGACCAACATTCTCTTGGTGAGCAGATCTTTTCCAGGGCTTTCTCTATCAGAAAGTTAGAGCCTTATAGTGTTTAAAACAAAAACCACCTGTGGATGCCTTTGTGTGACAGAGTTAATGTTTATGAACGTACTTCATTTTGGAGGGAAGAAGTGCTAGGAGTAACTAACACCTGTTACATCCTAGAATTTAACCATTAAAGTGCAAGGGGGAGGGAAGTGGGGGGGGTTAGACTGCGGGTGCTATATGTATTAACAGGCATATACCTAAAGCAGAAAAGTAGAAAAGGCAAAGTAGGGCAGCCCACAACAGCAATTAGGATATTTTATTCCTGAGTGGATAATATGTGGTTTCATTTAAATAAGAACACAATCTCCATTAACTTAATTCGTAAAAGCAATAACTCCAACACTCCAGCTACTGCCCTGGTAAGGCATTTTTAGACACATCATTGCTACTTCGAAATTAAAAGTGAATCAGTCCTGTGGAGTTAATTACCAGTAAATATAACCTAAAGGAGGTCTCCCAAATGGCATCGAGCCAGCCTAAGATGGTTCTCAGTGTTCACCAGACATGCTGGAAGATACCGGGTATTTGAAAAGCTAAGTTCAGATGTGTCGCAAGTGCTTTGGGGAACAGCAGGAGCAATCATTTGCCGCATCCACAGTGAGAAACAAAAATAAAGGGCTGATTAAAAGAAGACCACTTCAATAGAGATTTAGAAAAAGTGTCCGCCCCACCACCCCAAAGCAAGCTCTCTGTTGCTGTTGCAACCTATTCCCTAATTCAGTTATGTTTACAGAAAGCAAATCATATCCATTACCTTTTAATGCTGGCATCCGACCCTATTTGATTATATAAGGTAGAAATAATTTGAGAAACCAAAAATAAAATTAAGCCAGAACGAAGAAGTTACCCTCATCACTACTGCTGTGGAATACAGTGTCCTCTGCTACAGTGTTCTCGAGGTGATATGCAAGAAGAGCAGAGACAGAAGAAAAACACTCAGAGAGATAGTTGTCTGAACTTTAATTAAATATTTCAATCATAATTAAATCTCTGAATCAAGGAAAATGGGAATAGATGAAACCTTAGTGAGAGAGAAACGGTACATGCACAAAGGGGACAGATTAATAAAATGACTGCTGACCTATTATTGGTAATGAACATAATCTGTTTCGTTTTACTACAAACATGTCTAAGTTTCCTGCACCTCCCATGATTATTCAAATGCCCTAGTAAGTGCAATTATTCAAATGCACGCATGTTCCCGCTGTTCTAACTTACACAATGTTCAAGAGTGCAACAGAGCAAGCTGTTCTTTGTTCTGAACCACACAGGCAGGTAATTGAGGTTGCTCGGCCCCAGATTTGATGTAGTTAGCAGTCATGATGCTAATAGATGATTATCTTAAATTACTTTTTTCCCCACCTTAATTTTATGAAGTGACTTCACGTGATTTTGCGTCTCAGCTATTTCTAAATAAATTCGGTAAACCAAAGACAAGCCTCGAACCACACATTTTAAGACAGATTCCCACTGGAACTGTTTGCTATATATAACGGAGTCTATTACACCTCTTTCAACAGACACAATATTAACGTCGAGTGTCGTGGTCATATGTATACGAACTACATAGAAAACAGAGTTGCTTCCTAATGTGTGGCTTGTCTAAACCCTAAAAGAGCACAGGCCGCTTTGCAGAGCCAAAACCGTGATTATTGATCCATCTTGACTGTGGTTCCACTTGCAAGATAAAGTCCCAACTGGGAGTTTCTCATAAATTGGGTCAAGACAAGAAAGGTAGGTAGCCGGGATGTCTCTGTGTCTCTTTTCCAAGAATTGAAGGCCACTTCTCCTGGTGTCTGGAAGAAGTAAAATGTCCTTGTCTAATGGGTATTGCTTTAGTAAACCACATGCCCAGTAAGTTCTAGCATCTAGGAGCATGCAATAGCAGCTAACGTTAGCTCTGCAGTCATGGCATTATTAGTGTTTAATTATAGCATGTGCATTGAGATATTTTAAATGTTAAAGAGAAAACAGAAGGATTCATTCTCCTTAGCAACCATTATAGTACAGAATGTTCAAAGCTGCGATCACACTCATAAGGCAAGTAAACTGATTACAAATGAAGGTAGCCACACGTGTGCATGCTGTAGGAAACATGAAACTGGCACCTAAAACACCCCTTCTGTGTCTTCAAAATTCCATGGCTGGCTCAGACCGTCAACGGGCACAATGGGAAATCCCCGCTTTAACCCGGCTGTGCCCATGTGGAGTCTTAGACGTGCGAACACGGGGGTCAAGTAATCGATCTGTTTTCTCTTTTCTCACTGGCTAACGGTCCGACTTTATAAAAACCCTTTTAAGAATAAAGGGCTTGAGGTCTTAGCGGCAGCTCCTGCTGGCGGGCACATCTGCGGCTTCGCTCCCCAGGGTAGTGCGGGGGCTGCGGAGGACGGAGGCTTCGTCCAAGACCTGCTACTTCCCCAGCGGCTCCGGGAGGGCCGCTCGCTGCGTCGGTACAGGCCGCTCTGGCCCGGGCGCTGGTGCGGGAGGCGAGGGGCGGCAATCCAGGCCTCGGAGGGGGCGGCAATCCAGGCCTTATCGCGGCGGGGGGGACCCCACAGTCCAGGCCTTATCGCGGCGGGGGGGACCCCGCAGTCCAGGCCTTATCGCGGCGGAGGGGACCCCCGCAGTCCAGGCCTTATCGCGGCGGGGGGGACCCCGCAGTCCAGGCCTTATCGCGGCGGGGGGGACCCCGCAGTCCAGGCCTTATCGCGGCGGAGGGGACCCCGCAGTCCAGGCCTTATCGCGGCGGGGGGGACCCCGCAGTCCAGGCCTTATCGCGGCGGGGGGGACCCCGCAGTCCAGGCCTTATCACAACTCCCTTCGCAAGACAGCGCGGAGATCACTGAACGTGTCCTTTTTAAAAAAATGTCAGTGTAGCAAGTCCTTGAAGTTCCCGGTGTTTCGACTTCAGGGTTTCTCTAAAACACAGAAACAGAGGCTAAAACTCGGGTGGCTGCGCACAGGGGCCTCGGGGAGCCCTCAGGGCGGGGCCTGCCGGGGTCCTGGCGGGGTCCTGGCGGGGTCCCGGCGGGCGGGGGCGGGGGCGGGGGGCGCCGCCTCCGGGGCCCGGCCGGGTCACCAGTGCTGGCCGGCGGCGCGGGTGCCCAGCTGCGCCTGGGACACCGCGGGCACCGCCGTGGCGGCGGCGGCGGCGGCGGCCGCGTCCCCGACGCCGGGCAGGACGGAGCGCACGGAGCGGCGGAACTCCTCGTTCCTCCAGGTGTAGAGCAGCGGGTTGAGCGCCGACAGGGCGCAGCACAGCAGCCAGCTGGCCGCCTGCACGCCCCAGGGCACGGGCAGCGAGAAGCCGCTGGCCAGGCTCACCCAGGCCAGCGGCTGCGTGGCCAGCAGGAAGACGCAGCAGAGCAGCAGCACCGACAGGCCGCTGAGGCGCCGCTGCGCCCGGCGGGGCTGCAGCGCGGGCGGCAGGGGCTGGGCCTGCGCCGGGTGCGCCGTGCCGCCGGGGCCCGGGGCGTGCGGGGCGCCCGGGAAGGCGGCGGCGGCGGCGGCGCAGCCGGGCAGCTGGTGCAGCAGGTGGAAGTTGAGGACGCTGACCCGCTTGACGCTGACGCGCACGCGGCGCACGATGCCCAGGTAGCAGTGCAGCAGCAGCGCCGTCTGCGCCAGCAGCGCGGCGGCCGCCAGCAGCGCGGGGTAGTGCAGGCGCGGGGCCGCGGCGCCGGGCCGCGGGGCCCAGGGCGGCAGCAGCAGCACGAGCGCCAGCGCCAGCGCCCAGGACAGCGCCAGCATGCCCGCCGTGTGGCGCCGCTGGTACAGCGCCTGGTAGGTGGCGGGCGCCCGGGTGATGAGCAGGTAGCGGTTCAGGGCCACCAGGCAGTGGGACAGGAGGGACACGGTGAGCCCCAGGCCCAGCAGCCCGCCCCGCAGCAGGCGGTAGCTGCCGCCCGCGCCGTCCCAGCCCGCGGGGGGCTCCGCCGCGCCGGCGGGCAGCAGCCCGAGCACCGCCTCCTGCGGCATCCAGAGGGCGCACACGCTCAGGTCGGCGGCGCAGCCGTTCACGATGAAGGCGTTGCTGGTGGTCTGCAGCTTTCGGAAGGACGACACGAGGTAGATGACCATGCCGTTGGCCAGCGTGCCCCCGATGGCCAGCCCCGAGTACAGCAGGGACACGGGGATGCGCCGGCCCGCCCACGACTCCTCTTCCTCGCAGAGCAGCAGCAGCGAGCCCCCGGTGGTGGAGGACGTGGACGCGGAGGAGGAGTTGGTCATGCTGGCCGGCTCTTCGCACCTCGCCGCCAGCCTCAGCTCCGCCCGGCGCGGCCCATCCCGACAGCCGCCCGCACGGAGGGCGCGCACGTCCCCCGGGCCCTCCGCCGGCGACGCGGGAGGCGGACTAGCGGCCTGCGGGAGCGGGAGCGGGGGGGGGCGGAGGGGGCGGGGGCCGCGTGGCCGAGGACAGGTGGCCCCTCGGGAGTGGCTCCGGCGCGCGGGGACAGGCCCCCCCCGGGCGGGGCGGGCGGCGGGGGGCCCCGGGACGGGGCGCCGGCAGCAGGCTCCTGTCGTCCCCGAAACACGCGCACACGCACGGAGTGGCGGCCGGACGGCGCCCCCGGGGTCCAGAAGGCAGACGCCGCCCAGCCGGGGGCAGCGCCGGGGCGCGGGGGGCGGGGGTACCTGACTTTGGGGCTGGTCCTCGGCGGGCGGTGGCGGAGGCAGGGGCGCCCGGAGACACCTCCTCACGGCCGCGTCCGTGGTCCCCGCATCGGCAGGAGACGCTGCGCCGGCGTCAGGGCCGGGAGCCGGGGCTCGCGCCTCCCCGGCGGCGGCCGCACGCTGGGCCCCGGGCAGAGGGCAGCAGCCCGCGGGCGCGGGGAGGCCTCCGGGCGGGCGGCGCGGCAGGAGCGCGGGCGGGCGCCGGGCTCGGGCGCGGCGGGAGCGGAGCTGCGGGGAGCGCCGGCGGCGCGCGGAGCCAGGGTGCTGGCCGCGGTGCTGAACCCACTCGGAGCGCTCTGGTGCTCAGCTCTGCATCACCCAGGGAAAAAGGCAGCCTTGCCACGCTTGGCATGAATTATTCAATAGCTTCTATCTTGTGAAAGGGGGAAAAAAATACCTTGTTCGGAAAGTGCTGTAATTAACAAGTTTCTCTGCCTTGTCTTTTCTCTCTCTCTCGCCCAATCACCTTATTTTTCACCCTGCTTCATTTGTCTTCCCTTCATCCTCTTCCTCTCATCAGTGTTGGAATAAAACGTAATACGCTCCTGATCTATTTCGTCCTAGCCTCATGCGTTCCGTGGGCAAGATTTTTCTGAGGGATGACTATACTCCCATACCCAGGGCTGATCTCTTCCATCCCACACTTGCAGAGAGAATTACTTTATATTCCAAATGAAATTCTTTTTTTCCCCCTCCCTTTGGTAAGGTGGGACATGGGTAATTATCCACAGAAAATCCCCGAGCCTCCACTTAAATCATAACTTTGATTTTATTCTCATCACCAAACTCCTTTTCGGAGTTTGGCTTGTGTTCAGGAATGAAATGGTTAGAGGGTAAAAACGAAATGGTCAGGTGAAAAGTAGGTGTCAGGGAGAAAGAAGGAAACCTGAATAATCCAGTGTCGATGACACAGTGACTCTTTACTTGAGAACTTTTTTATTTTGTGGCCTTAGATGGAGATTTGCAGTCAGATGTTGGAAACTTCTTTGATGCAACCACTTACTTAACCATTCCACATGGGAAATTTTCCATAAAAGCCACCCTTCCCTCCCCTTGCCCCCCAGTAAATCCATTTTTGCTGTGAAAATCGTTTATTTGAAAACTTAAGTCAGTATGGAATATGGTAAGAGCGCATAATGGAAAAAATGAGCCGTAGAGTTTCAGGACACCTGAGTTCTAAGCTGAGCCTCCACCAACTGGCCTTGTGATGGATCATTTTGTCATCTTGTCAAATAAGTTTTCACTCAGTGACTTCCAAGGCCCTTCCTTTTCAGACTTTCTGTGAATCCTCACACATAAATTTAACATTTCTCCTCCCTAGGTCTGACACTAGAAACGTTCCTCTCTATCTAACATGTGCCATAGCCCTGGATCCTATGGTAGGAGTCCTCTCCTGGCTGTCTGTAAGGTGACATTTCGGAATGGAGAGCAAGACGCACTTCCTCTGCTGTCCTCCCTCCCTTTCCATGAAATGGTATTAGTTAATGACTGTTAACAATTCTAATGGGGTTAGAGCTAAGCATGACTTGATGGGTTTAGTCCTTTTAGGCAGTAATTAAGTGGAATTAGTTGAGTTGGAGGATTAAAGAGATGAACCAGAGATTTGCTTTTCGAAGGACTGAAGGTTCAGATGTCAAGTTCACTGATGTTGAAGAGAATTTGCTATTGTCCTTCGCCTGGAGTCATTTGTCTTTCTTGTGTCTCTGAGTACATCAAGCACAGCACGCCTGCAAGAGAGTCCTCTAATTATTTATAGTTAAAATCTGTGCTTGAAATAAAAATTTCCTCTCACATCAGGGGGGTATCTGATTTCCAGGTCCCTGGCCCCCTGCTGCTGCCTTACCTGTTGCCTGTGGGAATGAGCAAAATCCCTACTGAGAGGCTCTGGTGCCTTTTAATCACTCACATTTCTGTCAAGTCTATGCCTTTCTTCTTTAGCCCAGGCCTGGCAAGGGGCAAGTTTTTGTTTGTATTTGGTGTGGGTTTTGTTTTAATCTATAGAACAATAGTACAATCTATAGTGCAATAGGGTGAAGGGTTTTTTCCTCTCACTCCCAAAACCAGGGCAATGCGTGGCATGTGGAAGGTTCTCAATAAATAAATAATCAGTGAGTGGATGGCTGTATAAATGATTTCTTTTTTCTCTTTATTCCATGGTGAAACGGTGAGTGATTTTCATGACCCCCTCTTTCCTCCTACCCCTGGCAGGAACTTGGCAAGGGTCAACCACCCTTCTTATGTGTGTCCAATCTCTCTTTACCCACCACTGGTGGCTTTCCTTTGGCTTCAAAAGTGCCAGCTTCACCACAACCTAATAAACACTTCCTCTGTGCTTCATCTCCTTCTCAAGCTGCCTACACGAGCTCACTCCCTCTCCTGGCAGACACGCTTGGTTCTGCTTTGACCTCCTTTTCTCCCACCGAATGCCCAGCCCACACCACTTGTGCTCTCACCCTGAGACACTTTCCACCTGGCTGAAGTTCTACTCATACACAAAATTGCCTACCGGACACTGCTACTTGGGTGCTCTGTGGGCACCTCAAAACCTCAAATGTCCAAAACAGGTCCCTTCATCCTCTTTCCAAACCAATCCCTACTTTTCCCGTATTCCAGTCCCTGTGCCCAGCATCGCCATTATCCTGATGCCTAAGTCAGAATCCTAGCTATCATTTTTAATTCCTTCTTTCCTCTCTTCCTCCCTATATCCATCAATCACCCAAGTGTCCTCATTCTACCACATTCATGTTTTGTAATCTGTTCACTGATCTCTATTCACTCTGCCACTACCTAGTATCAGACAACCACAACTACCATCTCTTCTCTAGATTATCCCAACAAGCTCCTAACTGATGTCTACCTACCATCTTACCTCCCTCCAGGCAAAGTGATCTTTCTAAGACTAAAAGACACTGCTTCTCAAGTGTTAAATTTTTTTTGTGTGTCCCTACCTTCCACTCCAACGTACATTCTTTGAAAATAGGAGCTTTGCGTTGATTACTAGTGTTATTGGATGCTCCCAGAACAATGCCAGACACATCGGATACTCTTAATCAATATTTGTTGGAAGAAATAGTGAGAAAGTGTCACTTTTGTGCTTAAGTTCTTTCACTAAGACCCTATTATCCTCAGGAGAATCATGAGCATCATCATTGCTAATGTTACTGAATACACACCACATGCACCAGGCATTCCTTTGGGGATTTTTCATCTATGATTTCATTTGGCCCTCATGTCAGGCCTACAAGGCTTACCTCTAAACTTACAGGCTGGGGCAAGAGTCCTGGTCCAGGGCAGCCCGGGTGGCTCAGTGGTTTAGCGCCGCCTTCAGCCAGGGTGTGATCCTGGAGACCTGGGATCAAGTCCCACGTTGGGCTCCCTGCATGGAGCCTGCTTCTCCCTCTGCCTGTGTCTCTGTCTCTGTCTCTCTGTCTCTCAAGAATAGATAGATGATAGATAGATAGATAGATAGATAGATAGATAGATAGATAATCCTGGTCCACAGGCTAAATATCTAAATATTTTAAATTCATGAATCAAGCCATCAAATTGTCAAATAATATTGTGTTCTCCTACCTTGACAAACATACTTTCATGACAACTGAAAGCTGGGCTCAAATTTAGATCCTCAGATTCATAGATTATCGCATGCTACTGGAATGTGACAACTTGGCCACCTTACCTCTGTCCCACAGTCCATCAGCTCTGTCCTCTCCCTGTCCTCAGCTCTGTCATCGCCTGCCTGTTACATATAGGATGATCCAACCTGCTCATCCAAGTCCCATCCGTACTCCTGTCACACAGCTCTCCCTTAGCACCATTTCAGACCTGTAAGGATGCCTGGAAGGCAGAGTCAGCCAGCAGAAGGACAAAGTCAGAGCAGAGGTCCACACAGATCATGAAGGTGTGTTCATGGCCATTGGGCAAGGAATTCTGGGGTCCTTGCCAACGAACGTGGTCTCGAAAGGGCATGTGAGCTTTACATGAACTTGTTCCCCTTGGATCCACTTAATAGATGAGAAAACTGAGTCACAAAAATAATTTGGTAAGTGAATTTCGTTAAGTAGGTAAATTAAACAACTTGCCCAAGATCACACAGCTAGAAAGTAGAATAACTGGGATTCAAACCCGTTGCTCCATACTTAACCCCCACCACACCATACTGCCACCTTTGGTAAAGTTTAAATTCTTTAACATGGGTTAGCTGCTGTAAATAAAGCTGACACGACAAGGAGACCCAAAATTATGGAGGTTCAAAAAATAAATAATTCATTTATCTCTCTCAAAGGTGAATGAACAGTCCAGGTGGAAGGCAGATCTACACCAGGCCATCCAGAATCCCAGGGATCTCCTTATGGCTCCCCCACCCCTTAGGACAGGAGTATTCAAAGTGTGGTCCCTGACCAGAGACATCAACATCCCTTGGAAACATGTTAGAAATGACTGAGACCCAGTGGATCAGATTTTCTGGTGATGGTGTCCAGCAATCTGTTTTAACGAGCCCTCCAAGTGACTCTGATGCTTGCTAAAGATTGACCACCACTACCTCAGGATGCTATCCTTGTCTACTTGGATGACATCATTTCACCACTGTCACATCCACATGCCAGCTGGCAGAGATGAGGAAAGAAGAGAGGGGCAGCCAGCTTCCTTT